CGTAAGTTCTCTTCCCGGTTTCACTCTTTTTCACTTTGTAAGAGGCGATCGTCTTCTTGATTTAGTCGGGGTTTTCAGGCTGGTTATAGTAGATGACGATAATCGTACCAACATCACAAAGAACTGTGAATTCAGTAGCTTTCTTTATGATCCCATGTTTCCTTTTTTGGTAAGTCGTGTTTCGGGTCTTCTCTTTTGTTATGAGTTACATCCTTAGCTTAATTCACACGCCCCACCTATAATAGGATTGGGTTCCGGTAAGAATGAGAGTTAAGGTAATAGGAAGGGATCTTCATCCTTAGATGCACATTATTATGAGATGCACCGAGATAAGATACACTGAAATGCACAAGATCAATGTCTGTATCAATTGCTGCTCATGGATGGGTTTGAAATTAAAAATGATCAAGTATCCAATACATTCTTATGTTTCTCACTTTAACTCTTCTTACCCTCGAATTGTTTTTAACACATATTCTTAAGTCACATATGATATTCTAATTGGTTACAAGACAACATATATAGATGGTGTGGGTCGATTTGATTTGGCCGCGATTCTGAATGTGAATCGCCTAATTTGCTTTTATTCTTTGAGATTTCAAGATGGACCCCTCAGCTTCTCAAATTTTCAGTTTACCCCCTTTGAACTAATAACATTAAAATTATCAATTTAATAAGTATATTTTCAAGGATATAATTATTATAATTAAGTATAAACCAAGAAGAGTATTTATTTTTATTTTAATTAATTGTAATATGCATTTCCTTTTTATAATTTGGGATATATGTTAACATATCAGTTGTTATTATTCATTTGCGTCAGATTAAAATGGTATGAAAATGATATTAATTAATAGAAGGTATAAAACATTAGAACATTTATAATGAAGGTTCTTATTAAGCAGATATGTTCCTGACATTTTATAGGTTTTGGACGAGATATAAAAAAGGTCATTGATATGTACAAAAAGAATATTCAATATGTTGTTTTTATCATTAATAATAACACTAAATTCAAAAATACTAATCGCTCATATAAAACCATGTTTATGTATATCTCTAGATGCAAAATCAATCAATAACTATTTCTAAATTAATATTATCAAACATATCATTTTTATATAGCATCATCAATCCGTTCCTCCATAAAAAAACATTCTATGATATAACTTAAATATATAGATTGATATCATTTAGGGTCACAGTGTTAACTATTCAAAGCAATACTCTATGTAGATCAATACAAATCAATTGAGTTTCCATCTCGCCTTATGTTAATTTTTTCATCAGTTTTAAAATTTTAGGGTTAGATAAAAAAAATTCAGTACCATCAATCTTTGAGCTACTACTATTGTATACAAAATAAACTTGGGCCCCCTACTACTATTCTTGAGGTTTTTTTTTGGGGTTTCCATAGGAACCTTCATTATGGGACAAAAGTTCTTGTCCAGTCACATGTTCTAATAAAAAACTAGATGCCTAAACAAAAACTTGGGTTATTGTTTACATTCTTTTTTTGTTATTGTTTCTTAACCATTTTATATGTAAAGAAAATGACCAATTTAGGGTTAATTATATATAGAAGATGATCTCGTTTCCATTTAAGTGTATATTAACCAAAAACTAAGCCGTGGACTTAGTTTGCCAATGATATAAATGGAGGAGATAAAATGGCATAAGTCACCGACATTTTGCATTTCGTTTGTTCTCGAGAAAAAAGCGAAAGAGATACCAGAATCTGAGAGAAAAAGGCAGCAAAGAATGAGAAAATGGGTAGAGGGCGGTGTTCAAAATCAAGATTCAATCGCAATAATGTTGAGGCGAGGATACTTATGATTCTTGGTTCAATATTACACTACTAATTTGAGATTTATATACGTGTTTATCGAGCCGATTAGTTGATCGGATAATAGATAATCTTCTTATTCAAAACATAAAACGTATGTTATGGATAAAAACGATAATATTCAGAGTGTTGACGATTCGAAAATGTGAACAAGTGGTTGTATTCTGCTGAAACACAACTGTGTGGGGTCGTTAGTAGTCGAAACGCCCGTGTCCGAGTCTGATCACCCAATGGCCATGTACGTTTATGGTCTTGAAAAGGGAACCAATTTGTGGCTCGAACATAAACCGAAATGTAGTTGCGGCCTTGAGCAAAAGCAAAAACGGCCACATGAAAGAAACACGACAAGGAATGCTTGAAAATGGTCTGCTCATGAAACCATTTTGGTGTATATTAGGTAATTGATATACTAGCTAATTCCACTGAGAAACTTGAAGGTTAGCCATGCATGTTTTCGTTGCAAGAGAAGCCGGTGGGTATGGGTTCATGATTAGTGCGAGGGAATCTCCCCCCCCCCCCCCCCAAAAAAAAAGACCAGAAAGAGGGGGACGATAAAAGTTCTTTCGTTTAGTACGATATCACTTACGTGACTTTCACTTCATTAAAGAAGGTTTTCTACTTGACGGTCTTCTTGTTACCTTTTTTGTTTACATTGAAATGTGATAATATCATATCGTTGGCTCTATGATAAATGGAGAAATCAGTTATTATCTCAACTAAATGAGATGTGTCACACCACGAGCTTCTCATAAATACCATGGAGGCTCACCCGAGAAGATGTGTCAAATTTTGCCATTGTTGGGTACACCAAAATTGTAGGTGGATTTCACAAACAAATGAACGTCTACTTGTTTTGTGAAAAGGGACCACTTCATCTGAAAACATACGTTGTTTCAAAGCACGAATCATATTGTATGCAACATATATTCGACCCAAATCGATCCCCAAGCCTGATGAGTAACTAGAGATGCAAGTTCAACAAATATAAGTGTGTAATCAGAAGACATTTGGTTTAAATAATGTTTTTAAAACGTAATTCATATGTTGAATAAATTGGAATTTAAGGGATTCAAGATTAAATTAAATATGAATTAGTCACACATTTGAATATTATTTAAATATCATAAAATAAAATAAAATTTAATTCCATGACTTCAAACTTACTTTGATTCGCATACTACAATTTTGGAAGAAAAATATAAATAAATAATAATATCTATATCTATACTATTCTATAAAACATTTGGCTAAAACTCTTAAAAACTCTTAAACTGGTTCATCCCTAAACGATTTCATCTCTATCTGATTTCATCCCATATCTAAATTCGTGTAACTAACTGCAGATAAACACAATCAAATACAGGATAAACATCTCATTTTAATTATAAAAAATCTAAAATATAATTAGTATAATCATTAAATTCTAACAGAATACTTAATTATTATCTTTATAAAATTTATAATATTAAACTATTTTATTATTAAACTTAAATTAAGTTATATAAAAAAATTATATTCTATATTATAAATCATTTGACAAAAACTCTTAAAAACCACTTTTTATGCTTAAAGTACTATTTATTAATGCATATTAGTTAAAACTCAAGATTACAMGTAAATTGTACATAGGTACAACTTATTAAAGCTCCATATCTGAATTCGTGTAACTAACTGCTGATAAACACAATCAAATACATGATAAACATTTCATTTTAAATATAAAAAATCTAATATATAATTAGGATAATCATTGAGTTCTAACAGAATACTTAATTATTATCTTTATAAAATGTTATATTATTAA